ATTGCTTCCTTTTCAATTTCATGGAAGAGTTTGAGGAGTATAGGGACTACATCTTCTGTAAATGTCTTGTAGAATTCAGCTGTGAATGCATCTGAACTTGGACTTTTCTTTGCCGGTAGATTTTTAATTACATCTCGTATTTCATTGGCTGTTATGGGGCTATTGAGAGTGGTTATATCTTGTCGATTCAGTTGTGGTAATTTGTATCTTTCTAGGAATCTGTCCATTTCTTCTGTGTCTTCTATTCTGTGGAGTAAAGATTCTCAAAGTAACTATTGGTAATCTTCTGAATTTCCACTGGGTCTGTGGTAATTACACCCTTTTCATTCCTTATTGCTTATATTTGAATTTTTTCTTTCCTCTTTTTGATGAGGTTAGCTAGGGGCTTATTGATTTTATTTAATTTTTCAAAGAACCAGCTTTTTGCTTTTTTAATTCTTTGAATTGTTTTCTTCATCTCAGTTGAATTAATTTCTGCTCTACTCTTTATGATTTCTTCCTGTCTTTGCGCTCTGGGTTTGTTTGGCTCTTACTTTTCTAGTTGCTGAAGGTAATATTTGTACTATTTTACAGATAAGGAAATCTAGGTGCAGGGAAGGAGTGCCCACAGTTTCTCTCTTATTGTAACCCTAGCCCCACCCTTGACACACCAAGTGTCCAGGCCAGGAGCTGGGGAGGAGAGGAGGTGAGGAGATCTAAAACCTGTGTGGGGCTTTGTACACTGCAAGCTGTCCTATCCAGGAAGGGGGTCTTCAGTTGGGGGGAGGCTGAAAAACTGCTTGATGTCTCAAAGGGGAAAATTTTCATTAATCTCTGAATTTACACAAAAATCAGGTGAAAATAGTGGTGAAATTAATCTTAGGGGTTGCCAAATGGTCCCCAGTTGCTCTGTGCTCTTTAGGATCTCCAGACAGGGCTCAGGGTGTAGTGGGGCTCAGCAGGTAGGGCCTCCATGACTTTCCCCTGACTCAGGATGCCCAATCCTGGCCATCACAGAAGACCTAGGGTGTGTGCTTTTCATTTTCATTTTTTATAGAAGCAACCACTTTGGTGTGGTAAAAGAGTATTCTTTTCTCAGCAGTCCCTGAATCCTGTTGGTTCTGACTGTTCAAGGGGAAACTCAGGTGGGTATCCTTAAGTGTCCAAAGATCCTTTTGCTTTTCTTGATGTGCCTTGCTGTCATTTGTTCTGCTGTCCTGGGAAACTCAGCACACTTGATTCTCTAACTTTTCAGCCTGGGATATATTTATTATTCATTCAAGTCCAGGCGTAGGCCTTAGAATGGCAATGACTTCCTACCCTACTTTAATTTAAAGTTGGTTAAATTCATTTAGGGTGAACAGTGTAAAGTGCATGTGTGAGCCCTAAAGGTTTTTGTAATTGGCATGGAATTCTGGCAGGTGCCAAATCTGATTGTATCTCTTGCTGTTGGTTTATTAAAACTGGATCTTAGAACTGTAATCATCTTTTATCCTGACACTGATCTTCCGTTATGATAAATTCCCAATGGCAGGCATGCTGTGAAGGGCTCTTCCCCGGGGTCCTTACCCCCCCCCCCCCCCCCCCCCCCCCCAGTCTCCACTGTCCATAAATCCAACTCAACCTCTGGCGCTACTCACAGACTGGCAGAAGCTCCAGGGCCACCGATGTCCCATTTTCCATACTGTCAGGCGCAGCAAAGCCCCTGTCAGGGGCTTCCCACCCTCAGCAGCCAGTGACTATTTGTCTTATCAGCTTGGGTGGTGGAAAAGAAGTCCAGAGAGGGACAGGGGACGGCCTGGCATGGTTTCTAGATACCCAGGTATCCCCTAACCTTATCCTTCATCCTAAGGAACAACTTCCTGGTTTCTACAGCTGCTGCTTTTACTAAGGTCCCTCTGACTTAATTCTCCTAAATTCACAACAGATAACAGAAGTGTTTCTGGCCCTCACCGCCCTTTGCTTCTTTCAGTCAAAGGAGAAGACTCGCAGGCTCGCACCCCCGTCGCACACATGGTTCTGTTTTGGCACCTGGTAGCCATCAGGAAAACCTGATAAACTTGAAAGGGTTGTTTCTCCATCCCTCCAGAGCTGGAGAAATGATTTCATGCTGACTTGATCCGCGGGACTGAAGAAAGGGAGAGTGCGCTCGCAAGCACAAACAGGAAAGCCTGACATCACGGAGCGGCGTGGGGAGGAGTCTGCCCCTCCTTGCCGCTCGCCGCGCTCCCTTTGTGGCCGAGTCGCGCGCACCGGCGGCGGCGGCGGGCAGCGCGGCGCGTGTCTGTGTCTGCGCCGGGCCGCTGGGACCCGGGCCGCGGGCAGCGCCCAGGGCTGAGCTCGGCGACGCTGCGCTGGCCTTGGAGCAGGGCGCATCATGCGGCGTCCGCGAACCGGAGAGAAAACTGAGAATGAAATTGCTTTGGCAAGCTAAAATGGTAACGAGAGCTCTCTGCCTTCTCCCCAGGCTGCTCTGGAGGGGAATCTTCTCCCGCTTTCCCTGGGCGGGTTTTGGGCTCTCGGAGCGAGCGCAGCCGCCTTGATCCGATCACGTACTTGCGGGCTGAAGCTTTCTCACTCTGCTTTGTGTGCCTTCCTCTCCGCGCGTCTTCTGCCCGAACAATACCTACTTTCTCAGCCTTTGCTTTGGGGTGTCTGGGCCGCTCCTTGTATAGAGAGGAGAACTTTGTAGGGAAAAGAGCTGTGAAGTCTGGGTGAGCCGCGGAGCGCTTCTGCGTCCCAGCAGCCCTTTAACCCCGGTCTAGGAGCTGGCGACATGGAGATCCAGGGGGTCGCTGCAGAAACGCTAGCTGAAGTTGCATGATTGTGTGTTGCTTTTTCTGCACTTGCCAGATTATTTTACGGAAATAAAAACGTCCACCACCCCCGCTAACTTTTGGGGTCCCAAAGCAAGAGGGCGAAAAGACTCGCAAAGCGTTTCACTTCCAGAGGCGGGAGGACTCGGCATATAAACACTTGTTTGTGTCTGAGTTTGAAATCTAGTCTGCTCCCATGATCGAGCCACTTATAAAGTAGAAACTTTTTCGACAAATGAGTTATTTTTCTTTTCACCAAAAAGGGAAAAAGTTAATCAGGACTAAGCCACAGTTTTGTTATGAAGAATAAAAGTCTTTTTAAAAATTATTTCAGATACGTGAACAGGTCTAGGAAGAATAGTTGAATGGAAAATCTCAGAATCCTGATACCACAGGAAAGGGCCAGGGGCCACGGCAATCTCAGCATTCCCCTTACTGCAATATGTCTTGTATGGCTCTGATTGGAATATTTATTTTGAACAGCCCATCTTGTGCCCTGAGTGCTGTTGTAAGCAGCAAAGCAGCTGGGATAGATTGTGGTTAGCAGAGAGGAAAAAAATCTCTTTCTTTCTCTTTATCCCATCCCTGGCAGAGCTCGATTCAGGACTGGGGTGAAGAGATAGAGGAAGGAGCTGTTTACCATGTCACCCTCAAAAGAGTCCAGATTCAGCAGGCTGCCAATAAAGGAGCAAGATGGCTAGGGGTGAGTAAAACTGGACAGATCCGGGAACTTGGGAACTTCAGCGTCTGTTGTTCTGTGAATATCATTATTATTTAGCAGAGGCAGGCTCCCTCCCCGCCCCCTGCTTCTCCTGTGGACTTAGAAAGGAAACTACTCATAACCAAGTGTTTGCACTAGCTGTGGAGGGCTGAGTTTTTGCTTGATGTCTTGCAAAGCATCTTCCCAAGCTTTGTCAATAATTCAGAACCTCTCAGAAACATCTTGAAGTATTTGGCAAATAGACTGGGAGTGGAGTGGCTGAAAGTGACACACAGTAACAGACCAGAAAGCAGTGCTCTGTCAGACAAGAGCCCTAAGCTGCTCTGCCCAGATGGCACCCTCTTCTCGCCCTGGCCTCCACCTAGGATGCTCATGGCCTCCCTTGTGCCTAGAATGCTCAGAACACTAAGGGTATAGACCATTCCAAGCCTGCTCTCTTTGAGGGGGTGGCAGATTTCCTATTGTAAGCTCCTTTCTGTAGCCCAAGAGGAGGCAGAGGCATTGCTAAAGCCCACAGCTTTGCATGTAGTGTGTGTGTGTGGGGGGGGCGGGGGGGCTTTGTAAAAAAATGCTGCTTCTATAAACATGACTCTTTTCCACTGAGATTTTGAGTATTGGGTAGGGTCATGTGAGTTCTTAATTTGCCTACTAGATCTTTCAACACATCCCAAATCAAGGCGCTGTTTGAAACAGAAAGCCTGGTGATGGGATTACTGCCTGGGAAAACATGAACATGTGGATAAAAGAAGACACTCTTAATCTGAGATAGAAGTCATTCTGGGGTAGTGCAGTGAGAGGGATGGAGTATGCTTTTTCCTGGTCTAATTCTAGTCACTTCTTGGGCAGTGGGGTTCTGGGCATCTTTACTGACTTGGAGTTTCAGGAAATTCAGAATGTTTGGGGTAGCACTCAAAACTGGAATGTGATGGAGGGCAGGAAGCAGAGCTGCTCAGGACCTCACAGTAAGAGGAGAGGCAGTGTGGAACTTGCATGTCTTGCTGTTGGCAGGGGGACAGGCCAGCAGCCATAACTTCCTCTGTGGAGGGTGGCGCTGGCCTCTCCAGCTGCTTGAATGCAGACCTTCCTATAGCTGTACCTCAGCCTAGATTGCATCCACTAGGGCAGTAAATTTAGTGACCTTGAAGGTGTGGTTGGGAAAGATAGGACCCTTTCCAGTGGAATTAGAGCTCTTCACTTATTGAGGAACCTTCTAAAGTTAACGATGTGCATCCCAAGCAGGCCTGATAGGGAGAGCAGACAAGTCATCGCTTCGTTTTGGTGGTTGTGTATAGGTATTTTATTTAAATGTAGTATTGATGTGGTTTGGCCTGACTGGCTATTTCAGAATGATTCACAGTTTCTGAGCCAGTTCTGCTGTCAGGTTGCTCACCTCTTTTTGACGAAACTGATGTTGCTTGGGTGACAGTTTTAGTTTTCAGCCAAATATAGTGGCAGTGAGTATCTTTTGGAGCATGGAGGGGTTCAATCTATAGGTCTTGTACATGTAACCTATCATTCATTCACATATCCAACTATTTAATAATTCATACTGGGTTCCATGTTTTTTTTTTCTTCTCTACCCCCCCTCTGTGTTCTTCAGTTTATACAGAGTTCAAAGGTGGTTGACTGTGGATTTAATAGTAGATCTAAATGCTGAGAATCAGAATAATATTTAAAAAAACAAACTTGGTAGTAGTTGATAGAGGAATTTTGTGACTTAGTGGTCCTATCCTGCTTCTTAAGAGTTTGTTCTTAGAGCTTTTCACCGTGATACTACTTTTTTTTTTTTTTTTTTAATTATCTTAGGTGTCCTCTGAAGCTCTGTTTTTGTCCTTAGAAATTCCAGACTTAATTAAATGTGACTTAACCCACCAAGCTATAGCAATTACAAAGCCTTTCTCTTTAGAATAAAGTGGCTTCTCCATTGTTTTTCTGCATTCCAGGAATGTTTTCAGAATTCTTCAAAGTAACCAGTTTTAGAGATTCAGGTGAGGTGGGGAAATTATTGCAGTATGACAACAATCTTATGAGGAAGATGGCATTATGAAATTCTCTCTCTCTCTCTCTCTCTCTCTCTCTAGCTAATATCTAGATAGGTAAAATTGTGTGCCAGCATCACACATCTAGGAAATTTTGATCCAAATGCTTAACTCTTTGCTGTTAAGAATTGCTTGGGACTTTAAAGCTGTTTACACACTACTAAAAGAGAACATTGACTTGAAAGAACATGGATGCTTATGGTAACTTTACCCCTAAAGGTCACTGGTGGTGTAGGCCTTGCGACCTGTGGGTTTCTGGTCTTCTTTATGCTTTGCAGAATAAGCTTGAGCTACAAACTGAGAGATGTGCTGTGATGGTGTGTATCCTATTGACAAGCTCTGCATTTTGGGTGTCTAAGGTGTGGTACACTAAAGACATGCACAAGGTTATGTAGCACATGAGCATGGGCATAGACTTGTTATACATCTGGAATGTTATTCAAAAGCCCAAAAGATGAAGTACAGTGGTTATGTTTTCTAGCACTAAGATCTCAAACCGTAGTGAAGATTCACTTTTGAGAAGTATAGGAAAATAATTACACATACTCATATGTGAAGTATCATATAATCCAAAATATTTAGGTCATTCTTAAATTTATTTCTGAAGTTTTGTGTTTAGTTGACCTCTTGAAGTAAAGGAGGGTGTCCTTCATTGTAACATAACACCACAGCTTGGTTTACTTATACATGCAGCTGTGGCCTTGCCCATTGGCAGTGAGGTTATATTGGTAACTTTGAAAATTCAGATATTATTGAAATGCTGACCCATTGTTCCTTTATAATAACATCTTAGGCTGGGATAATTTTTACTTACCTATGCCTCTTATAGAAAAATGGCTCCAATTATGTCATAGAATCATAAAATCGTAGGATTTGGAAGAGACATTGAAATGTAATCTCAGCTAGCCACTTAGACACTGTAGAGTGTCCAATGATTTTTAGAAGGGTAGATAATCACAACTTGGTGTAATTTGTCTTTGATCCCAGGATTGTGCTTAAATATCAACAGTGATATATAGAAATAAGTTAAGAAAATACCAGTCTTCTCTGGAAGCAGGAAATGTATGATTTTTAGGAAGAATATTCAGAGGAATGAAGGAATAGGTCAGATTCAGGGCCTAGAAAAGTATTTCAAACCTAAGAGAAATGCAGCGTGTGGATATTTGCTCCTTACACAGGATTGTTGGTTTGAGGCCAATGCTGGGGGAGTGGATAGACCAATGGACAGCCAGATAGCTTTTCTCAGCGCATCCCCTCCATGATCCCATGCTTCTGTGGTGGCACTCCTTTCCCTGTGTCCAGTGTTCATCACTCCACATCAGCCTGTGTCCACTTGTTCCCATGTAGGGTTTTGGCAAATTCTTGTTGGACTGAGTTTAAAAGCCTGGTAACTAGGAGACTGGTAAGATAATGAACAAGCACCAAAGAATAGACAGCACAGAAATACAAGGAAGTGGAAATCTGGACAGAACTTAGCATTTGGGTGACTTGCGGCCAGTCAGTGCTTATGTGAATGCAATGGTAAGAATCAGTGTATCTAGTCTGAAAAGCTGACTCAACTGCCGCAGCAGTTGGATTGATTGCACCTAGCATTTCAGGGGTGTTGCGAGCCATAAGTACACAGTCTGTTGAGTTCTCAGCTAACTTCACTTCTGGGAATCTTCTCTGATCCTCTTAAGTCTGGATAAACTGTCCCTTCTGTGGATTTTGGAGCATTCTGTATCTTCCTGTCATGCATTTATCTCGCTCTGTTGTAATTGTCTGCTTATTTGTATCCCCGCTGGATCCCAAACTTGCAACTTAGTTGGCAGAAATCCAATCCTTGTTGAATGAATGGATGAAGCTTCATCTTTCTTTGAAGACGAATATTATTTGATAAGAATAAATGTATGCTTGCTTCTCATTTAAAACTAAATCAGCCTGAAGATAATAGTTTATAAAGAGGGCTGTAGGAGTAAGCAAGTCAAGTTGGTAATGATTGCAGTTGTTTTGTTTTTTTCTAGAACAAAGCAGGACACAAGGGTAGCAATTATTCATTTTAATAAAAATTCCCCAATGTCTTTAAAAACCAAAAGGTCCAATTTGCTTCTTGCTGAACACAGAAGAAAGAAAGCAGTGCATTGAGTTGCAAAGTGTTGGCATGAATTAACTTTGTGTGGTTTGAGAATGCAGGAGTGGGATTTTAGAATTGCAAAGAGATAAGCTCTAGAGGAACTTTTAGTTTACAGTTGGTCATCCTTGTTTTTATCTAGGAAAACAGGCCTTTGAGTTGTGTTATTCATATCTGTTGGAATCTTTAATGTAAGCTTTAGAAATTAAAATTTTGAATTTAACAACCTTCTGTAAATAACCAACTGGTATTTTTCATTTTGACCTTGGGAACATGTTTCTAAAATAATCCAGAAGTATGGTAGCCTATCCAAATCAAGAAAATGTAAATTTGACTCATTTAAAATATTATTATATTGGTGCCTTTCAAAATCTGTTGGGATTTGTGTCAGAAATATGTAGCATGTAATCAAGAATATCCAGTTCACAAACTAGGGAATACATGACTATCCCTAGCAGATAATAACAGCACAAGTGTAAAATACACATTAACTCTTCATGGAAAAGTATATGTTCTGCTAAATTAATATCATAAACATGTTTCATTCTTAATTCTATGACATTATAAAAAAAGTCTCCTACAGTTTTAAATTTTAAAAAATGTGAGAAGTGAGATAAACAGTAAATCTTTCACTTCAGCACTTGGTTGGAATTTATCACTGCCCTATCCCACTTATTTTAGTTTCCTTTGTTCATGGCACACATGTCCTTTTAAACTTCCCCATCTAAATCAGATTCTCTCTCTCTCTCTCTCTCTCTCTCTCTCTCTCTCTCTCTCT